GGAAGAAAAGAAATGAAATAATAGTTATTCTTGTTTGGATAAGAAAGAGGAGAGAAAAGAAAAGAAAGATAGTGACCAAATTACTGTCCTACCCTTAAATAATCACTTCATACATTACTCATTTCCAAAATCTTGTTTCTTTTTTATAGTTCAATGCCATGGGTAAAAACAAAAGAAAAAAAGAAAAAGTATCATAAGGCTAAGATGAACCATTCAACATGGTTGAAAGTAACAACAATCTTCAACCATTTTTATGAGCATGTGAAAAAATTATTATTGTTATATATGTTATACCTATTCGACTCAATCCCTTCCCATCCTAAAATTTTTAATAACTTTTAGCATTGCCATACATCCTTGCATTCCACTAAGCATATTGGGACATAAATGAAATTACTTTTCTGTATGTTGATTTGTAGAGGGTATTTTTGGTATTAATAATTTATAAATTACTCCACTATCCTTTCTCTCTCTATCTTCTCAAATTAGGAGAGAAAGCATATAAGGGATAGGGAGGGATAGCTATCCCTCCCTATCTCTCCCTATCCTCTCTTTTCTCTCCACTTAACCCACCCAAACACACGCTCACACTATTCTTTCTTTTCTTTTGTCTCCTTATCCCTCCAAATCAACCATACCAAACACACCCTAAACATTTTCAAAAAATGATTCTATTCAATTCACGGGACAAATTCGATGGAGAAGGAACACAAAGATGAGATCATAAGATTTTGATATATATATATATATATTAGTTAAGCGGGATAATTTCACTTACCTCCCCTGGGGTTAGGCGTAATTATAGGCGGTACCCCTTACACTTCAAAAATTACACCGTCCTCCTTCAAGGTTTGCTCCGTCGTAACACTTAGCCCCCTCCGATGAAAGTCAACGCCGGTCAATGATGATTTTGATGCCATCAACTATTTTTAACCCTGTAATACCACATTTGCCCTTACTTTATTTGCAAAGTCATTTTAACCCTTTTGCCCTTACTTTATTTGCAAAGACATTTTAACCCTTACTTTTGTATTAAAATAACTTATATACCCAGGGGAAAAAAAAAACAAATACTGTGTAGTATCAGTACACACACACACACACATATATATATATATATGATCACTGGCGAGATCACTGCCAAGATCGTCACCGCCCACCCTAGCAACGGTGGCTTCATCCTCTGGGCCCACCACGTCTTCTACCCTTCGTTGGCTCCCTCATGGCTACTTAGAATTCCTCTCTGCCGTCCGGCATGCCTCACTGCCTTCCCCATCCTCAGCATCGACTACTTGGGAAATCTTCCCCATCTTCAGCGCCCAACTATAAACCCAAATTGTGAGTGAGTTTCAATTATTCTCGGTTTAACCTCAATTCATGCGTGCTTCAGTTCTGGCTCCGGTTTCCTTCATCAAATCGATGAGTTTCAGAACGACGAATAAATCAGAAAAGCAAAGAATCCTAACCCTAAATCATTTGCGATGAATCAGATTCTCCAAACACCAATTCCACAATTAAAGCTGCTATATCGTGCATAGTTGCTGATGATAATGCTCTTCTCAATTCATCTTCATCACCTCTGAAGCCCCCTTTAGATGACGATTTCTTCTCCTCCGCTTCTTCCTCCTCCTCTTACATTCGTGCCGACAAGCCTTTGTCACCTTCGCCGCCAACTGCTCTTGATCAGCCTCAGATCCCTATATTTTGGCCTTCAAACGGCAATCTAACCCTAGATTGGGTATCGTAGCCTTTGATTGCCTTTGGTGAAATTATCGCAGCCTCTGCAACAAAGTAATGTTACTTTCCTTTTCCATCTCTTGTCTCTCTCTCTCTGCCTCACGATTTGCCTTCGGTGTTGCACAATGTTTATAAAATATTATTTATGTGATATATATTAATAAAATATTACAGGGTGTTTTAGTCATTTAACATGGTCAATGGCCGGAATAAAATGCTGATCAGTTTAGAGAGAGGTTAGTATAATTTTTGAAATATAAGGAGTATTACCTGTAATTACGCCTAACCTCAAGGGAGAGAAGTAAAATTATCCCTTAATTAAGGATGTTAAACTTCGAAGTGACAAGGTGTTAAGATATATCAATGAGACTAGAAGTTGCCACTACATGTCAATATGGAAAAAAAATGGATGTGACATTGAATTCCTTTGTAACATGAAAGTTGTGACAAAAAAAATATTATAATCCACTCTCTCATATTAAATTATTACACTAAGAGATTCAAGTGAGGCTTGGTGCCTAGGGTTAGGGGTTAAACATGCTTCACAAAGTATAGACAGATTAGAAATCCCAACCAAGTAAGTGTGTGTGTGAAGTTGGAAAAGATGTAATCTTTCTCTTTCAAGATCATGTAATCAATCTATGTCTCTCTCTCTCTCTCTCTTTGATTATGCTTCTTGCAACATTAACAAAAAAAAAAAAAAAAAAGGTCATAGCATTTTATTTTTAAAATGCAAAAAATAAGTTGTCACGTGTCTCAGTGGCAGCTTTGGGATGGTTTTCGATGCAAATCAAGATCAACACCAATGACAAAGTGACTTATCGGTGCGATTAGGATAATCATAAAGCTCTCTCACTTACTAAAGTGAAATGGGTGTGTGATTAATTATATTAATCCCCAAATAATAATCAAAAAATTTAAAGTTTTAGTAAATTAAAGTAACCCCACTATCTATGATAAGCCATTGATGTGGCTCACTGAAATTGGGCTTTGTTAGTCTAGTCCTCTATATCTTAGACCTCAAGGATCACTTTTATAATGTCAACTTTCATTATGAATTGATAAATTGTTGTGTGAATGGGAACCATATAGTTAGTTAATGATTCACTTTAGCATTAAAATATATGCCCCTTTTTTTTTGTTCCTATGGTGGACTACGTCTTCTTTATACTTTTGTTAATCATTTTGATTAGGTACTGCAGGTTGCTTTATATTTTTATTAATCACACACGATTTTCGTGTATCACACCTAGTTTTGGTTGGATTTGGAAGAAGGTAAGTGTCAGTATCAGCTAATTCTGGTCGAAGTATCTCTCGACCCTTGGATGCATGGAAGTGAAACCCACCTCAATTCATCCAAGGGTTATAAAACACTCGGCCCTTGAATTCTATTGCATAAATTATTATTCAGTTCTAACTATACCTAAGTTTGGTTGGATTTGGAAGCAATTAAGTGTTGGAGGTGTTGGAACTTGGTACCATGCTGGGATGAGATTTTTCTTACGGCGCAAACAACAATAAGATTTGCCAATTATAAGATGTTTGAGACTGTTTCTACAGGCCCAGGCCCAACTTCGAGACCCGTATATTGAGCAAAGAAACTAGCATGCAACAAATAAAAGAAATAGAAGAAAAAGAGTGATATGTACGTTTAAATAACCATAAAGATTAATTTTTGAAACATTGTATTCTTCAGCTAATTACAGTTAGTAGTGTATAATAGGACAGTGTGTGCAAAATTCACCCATTTTTGCGTAGTTATTTATTTATTGATAAGCAAGATAATTTTATGGACACCAAAAAGGAACCATACAATAAAAAAAAATTATGAAACGTATTGTAAAATTATTAACATTCAGACCAATGTTTCCTTAAATTTTGATATTCATCCTTTTGCCACTACTTCTTAAACCTTCTTATTTAGCAACTTATTAAATAAGTAAATTTTATTCCATCTTTATATAAATTATTTTGCTTTTATACTTAGTTCATAACTTATCGTGGATGATAATGTTGATTAAATCCTATAATATCCTTTCTATTAGCCTCTTTCTAGTCAAATAACATGTAACATTTAATCCCAAAAAAAATCACATGTAAGTATAAAAAATTAAGAAGTACAACATTTGTTTTTTGTTTTTTTTAAAAAAATTAATTAACCTTTACCTTTGTTTTTTTTAAAAAAATTAATTAACCTTTACCTACTCTATACTTAGTCCATAATTCATATACTACAAGTATAGGTTAATATCATTATAATTCTTCATATCCATCTATTATTGCAATAGTTCATTAATGTTACGTTGGCAGGGTCCGATTCTAAAAAAAATAAAATAAAATAAAATAGGAGAAACACATTTCAATCGGAAAGCTTCAAGCGATCATGAAATCTGGGGACTGAACAAAACAGGAATCCATTAAAAAATACAGACCTTCAACCAATTTCGTTCTAATTCTAGTGAGCTGTGTTTTGATTCAATCATACCAATGTTTTCCCTAAATTCAAGTCATTTGTGTGGGTGTTGTAGTGAAGTAGAGACTGCTTACCCTCTATTTGGTTGTTTGGTGTGAGCAGAAAATGAGTTCTCATCCTATTTATAGGTATCTATACACATGTTGTCTATCTAAAATATTCCAAAAAATATATATGTAACATATTTGCAAGGCTAGTTTTATTATACAACTTTAGAGAATATTATGCAATTCTATACAAGTGTGGAGGTTTTAGAATGACTTGTCGTGGAGATTATCCATATCATCATCATCATCATCATCATCATCCACCGCGTGACTTAGATAAGAGCTACAATTGCCTTAAGAATGCAGCGAAAATGGGCTATCATCTATCCTTTAGCATCCAAATTGATCACTGTTTTTAAAGCCGAAACACAATCCCACCTACAAAACATCATACGAGGCGAGGCGGCCAGCGCCCGGGACATCTAAAATCTGAAATAATATGGTTACGGAGAAATGATCCATATGAATTGAGATGATGTGTACAAGGATTTTAGCGTTAATTTGTGTATCACGATGATTGAATCCTCTCTTTTCTGGCCAATTTTGTTCTGATTCAAAAGATTTTGACAAATTTGTAATCGAACTTTGGTAGTCATTTACTTTTCATTTCACTCAGTTCCTAATCAATTTCAGCCAGCTTATGCAATGATAACATTCCAAAATTACATTTTATTGCATATTTGCAAGTCGATTACAAGTAACCATGCAATGAAGTTCTTATAAACCAAAAAGAAACAACGGAGGGCATCTGCAAGACTACGATACCATTTTATTGCATACAAATTTAAGCATCCACACACACCAAAAAAAATCTCAAATTTATCGGATAATCGCTCATCAAAATTCCCCCCCTTTTAGAATGCATAACAAATAAAACTTGATTCCTGTGCTTTTTCCATATTAAGAACCTTCTTCAAGAAACAAACTGTGAGTAATCTTCAAAGATACAAGTGTCACAAATCAATGATCTAAAAAGTCCTCGAGTATTTCCTGATTTCATACATTATTGAAGATATTGAAACAAGATCTTTGTTTAGTGCAGACCCACCAACAATCCTCTTTATGCAATCTGAGAGTCTGGTATAATAAAGCAGCAGTTGAGTCAATGCAGCTCTTAAGATCTCCATTCCACACAGGAAGTTGCTGAAAGAAGTAATGACATCATTGTGCATCATCTCTATTGCGGCTTTCCATCTGCTCGCAAAGTCCTTTACAAGTGGCTCCACTTCAGACACAGTTATTGGTCTCTCAGAGCCAGAGCTTGGGTCCTCCGCTGATAACAACTTACAAATTAATACTAGAGAGTAAAGAGTTACGTAAAATTGAGATGTGAAAATGTTTGCCAAGATACTTACAAGCTCTCGTCTTTACAAACTTGATGAGATCACTAAAATGTTCAAGCAGTAGTTCTTCCTGCAAGGAAATGAACAAACTTAGGGAATAATATATCCAAACCGTCAATGATAACTGGAATTCAAGAACAGATAATTCCAACTTACAATAAACACCCAACAAGAAGTTTCAACCGCCAAAACATCTCCAACACAAATTGTCTTAGTGGGCATCTGGAGTCACTACTTTATACAAATGAAATGAAGATTTTTTTTCTTTTCAACTGAGGGGCTTGGGATTATTTTTTTAAAAAGATTAGTTCACTATAGGCATTTGACTGTTTTGTGATTTTGAGCCGCATTAGAATTGATACAAAATATCTGAGTTATTGCTGCTATCATTTCAAAAAACTTCTCGCTTAGTACCAATTATTCAAGTAGTAGAATTTACTGAAACAATTGGTGATGTTAATTACATTTGCATATGAGATGGAACTAGTGGCTTTAAAGGTTAAACCTTACACATGATACAAGGACAGTTAACATATTAGGTCAAAACTCGACCATTCTTCGGTAAGCATTGGTTACTATTAGTGTAAATACTACTACTACTACTACTACTACTGGTACTATTTTATTGAATTTTTTTTTTCCTTCCTTCCTTCCTTTTTTGGGTTGGGGCTGTCGGAGGGGGTGGAATGATGGCGTTAACCCACCCCCCTCCCCAACACCCCACCCAACTGGTGTTGGTTGACCTATTTGGATGATGGATTTGGTTTCACTCCAATCCTTTTCTCTCCAAGTATCTTCAAGCCTCCATCCAACGATCAATAACATGTCAAATCGTCATTTGTGTGTAACAACCCACAATGTTTGGTTTCATAAACAACTAAACCTAAACAAAAATGTGGTGTTTTTGTAACCATCAGATTCAGGCTTGGAGATGAAAAATATTGGAGAGGATCCGTGTCCATTGGATCACCGCAATTGTCATTATACGACTTCAGCAGTAAGTATTTGGTATTCAAAAAAGCCTTTAAAACCACTGGTTTAGTGGTTGTTACTTACCACAAATATTGCTGTGTTGTTCTTCAGCAGTTCTTCAAAGTGTAGTTGAATCTTTCCACCTTCTGGACCAGCTTCCTGGAAACCACATGTAAACAATGGCTATAATAACTCCTATGGATAGTTGAACATTTCTGAGCATCTGAAGTAAATAAGTTTACTTTCGTCTAAAATGAAATCATATCTGTCCTGCAGAAACTTTTTTCAACATTATCTTCGCAGCGGTGAAGCCATTTAGTGTATTGGACAAATCAAAAGTTAATTTCCACCTTTAGATCAAGGCAGATCTTGTTTATCAAAGAAATGAACTAAGACACTTATCCTTACCTTCAACACAGCAATTGTCATATCATAGTTGTTAATTAAAAACACAGTCTGCAGTTTTGGTTTCGGGAATGTTTTTGCAAGCTTGACAAGCAAGTCGTCAACAGCCATTCTCAGTCTTTCCAAGTTCAACTCAAGCTACAGAAGTCAAAAGGTGGCATATTTAAGCAACTTTTTCGATAACAATTCAACAAGGGAATAATTAAAAACTTGAACCTTCAAACGTCAAACCTGACAATCTCCATATTCAACATTAAGGTGAATAAGTGATGCTGTAAACTCAGAATAGCGCCTCATGACATAGTGTGGATGAACATCATCTTCCCACAACGTCTTCACATTTGCATTGCGCAGGCTATTGAGGTGCATGTCAAACACCATCTTGAAACGAGGCCAAAGAGAGATGTTGACCTGCTCAGATTCATTAGAGAATATTTAAATTGATCTCCATTGCAATCATTTCAATGTTGAGACAAAGAAAGATACAGGGAAATGGTAGTACATCAGTGCACGCACAAATATCTGGAGTGCTACACAAGAAGCTTCATTACTGTATTCCAGAGAACATTTTTATTCTCAGTGACACATCTGACAAAATTCCAACATTCATACGGTACATTTTTCACTATTTATATGATTATGTCAGCTATAACAATTAGTGAACCTATGTGCATGTTTTCAACATGTGCAGTTGAAAGTAAATGGAAGCACAAGTATTGTTTGCGCTTCTGCTAAAACAAACTTATGTTGCCCACACGCAAAGAATGATATCAGCATGAGCTTTAAAACTCGTCTGGATCAAGTTATTTAATTATGAATATCAACCATGTCTACATGATCTCAGTGCTTACCCAAAATGTAGACTAAGTAGAGAACAAATATCAAATGACTAGTTATAGATGGAACTTCACTTAATCCGATTCTATCTAACAACTTTTAGGTGAGTTTCGTCTTTCTTTTTTTTGCCCTTTATCACTGTATGTTGCATATGTGATATGTATAATTTGAAAACACTTCTGCACTTGGATCTAAAGAAATAAAATTTTGTCATTGCTATAAAGTTGAAATTAAAGAGGCAAGTAATGACAAATAATTCAAAAAATGAACCTAGTTGACATTTAACTTCTCGTGTTTTATTAGCTACAGTTAATATTAGGCATGTTGCCATTCTTGTAACTCCTACCCCATCTGATCCCAAGTCAATTGGCCAGGATGCTTCCGCAAATAACAATTTAGACACAGAAAGATACTGTTAATTTTTATTTCCATTTTTTATACTTTTTGACAATTAAAAAGTTGCAGAAATTGTTTATTGATTTTAAATTGTTCTCCTGGAATCATGAGGACATGCACCTACATAGAAAGATACAAACCTTGTCTAAATATGAATCCAGGCATGGAATCCGCCGCCGAGACATAATAAGCTGAGAAGGAAAGGTTATCAGTCACAGCATGTCGTACACCGTAAATTTTAATTAAATTTATAACCATAAACAAGCATAAAGTATCAGAATAATGACAAAATCTATGTGCCTCTGGACAAAGCATTTTACTTATTCACCATTTGACAGAAGAAATCGCAGCAATTAGAGGGTCAGACACGTAATTAATTTCCACATTCCATTTCAAATAGCCAGAGAAATAAGCAGCAAAAATACGTTTTATAGGAATGACAAAAGCTCAGGTTGTCAAGCATAAAGCATGAGAATGTAAATTTCTGTACGAAGGCAGCCATTTGGCAGGCTTTAGAGGCCAGCTGAAAAATGGAATTTGTTTCCTCACATATGACAGCAATCTGCTACATGTGTGATAGCATAACCACTGCACCTTGCAGCCTAATGACAATGTAACAAAGCGAAAAACTTTGGGGTAGACTGGGCTGAAACACCTAAAAGAGTGGTGGTGATGTATTAGGGAAAGGGTTCACTGAAGTAGCCAGAATGCTCAAACAACTACGATGTGATGCATCAGACAATTAAACCTCACCCTCCGGTCTGAGTCGGGAGGAGAGGAGGGGCTAATGAGAAATTCAAGATTACAAATTACTCTCGTGTAACAAAATTAACCTACAGGTTAAATCACAAAATGTGCATGCAGAAGTGGTTAGGACAATGGACTGGAGAGAGCATACTGGCATTGAAGAATGAGATTTGCGCACGCGGAAAACCAAGTGGATAAGCTGATATGGTAGAAGACCTAGAGAAGACGATGAACAGTCTCTTATCATCAGTTATAAATTTGCGCTATTGTGGTTAACTAATTAACCAGTCTTTTTATTCATTCAATGAACCAGTGAATCATTCACAATCAATCAAAGCAAAATATCACAGTAAAGCAAATAAAGACGACCAAAAAACCAAGAAAAAAACCACAAGGACACCGTCCCAACACTAACAAATCCACTATAAAGAATACAACTCTAGGTTCTAAACTTTTGCCCCAAAAAATTACCTAGGTTGACTTATCTCCCACCCAGTCTTAAGCGGTTATGTCTAATTCTTCTCATTACGAGATTGGTAGCTGCCAGTCAACGAATTCATCTGCACAAGATCTGCCTTTCTCCAAATGATTGTCAGAAGACCCTTGCACTTCTACAAACACCTTCAGAGCAGCAAGGCATCACCAGTTTTCTCAAAGTCAAAGTCTCCAGACCACAATGGGAAGGTAGATTGCCACTCACCATTCTTTAAAAAATTTCAGAAGAATTTTCAATCATATACTAAAAATGATAAATGAATGCACACATAGATCCAAGTGCTATCCCAACGCTCAAGTTAAAAACTGTGTAAAAAAGTATGAAAGAATGCACACCCAAGGGCTCTTCCAATTCTCAAATTAAAAAAATTGAGTAAAAAAGTTCTAAATATCTCAATATGATTGCAAGTATGCATAAGAACCTATATCTCATGAATATTGAACCCAATTCAATCACAATTTAGAAGTGTTTTTAAACTTGAAAACTTATTAGTTTCTGAAATTGTGCAAGTAGAATCAGTCCTATAACAAAACAAAATCGATTTCAATTTTTTTTGAGAAGTGCAACCAGTTGCATGACCTACGAGATCCCTTGAATTTTTACAACAGATTGTTTAGGATTGGTTTAAAAAAGCTCTGGGACCAGTCACAAGTGTCCTGGTTCAAAAAAATACTTTTAGATATAAAAGCATAGAGAACACTTGTTTTATGGAAAGATCTAAGCCAAATATATAATCTAGGTGAAAGATTGCCAATTTACTCAATTTATCCAATTTACCACTTAGTCCTGTCATACAATCTTCAATCAAGACAACAATAAACAGCAGACCAACTTGACCTAACTAAAACATCGACAAACAAAAAGACTAGACCTTTATATACACTTGTTTTTACGGAAATTGCTCTCTCAAAGACACTAAGTCCTAGCAAAGAACAAAATGTTTACTATGTATCTATGCACTGCCATGATTGGCATAACGTATTAAGTCATTATGTCAACTGATATTTTCTCCACACGTCATTTTTTCACATCATGTCGAATTGATATTTTCTCCACTCGTCATTCTTTCACAGTGTGTAGCTCTCCAGTCAATCTTCTATGGCTGATACACAGTGAGCATTGTGGGAGTGCATTAAATATAGCAGTACACGTGTGTGAGTGCGCAGGTACGCACACAGAAATAAACACACGCATGCATATATACCGCACGCGCACAGAAATAAACACACGCACGCACATATACATCAAGGACTCTTGACACAAGGTCCAATAAGGATTAAAATATACATATTCAGCAAGCTCAAACAAAACAACACCACAACAAAGGAAGCAGGGAATATTACCTGGTGCTGGTGTATGATGCGGATCATAAGCATTACTCCTATTGCATCATAACAATTTGGAAGAATTGAATTGAAATGTTCATCGATTACCACAAATGGACCTGATAATACCAAAGTGCAAAGCATACATTAACTCATCATCATGGATACAAATATCTCTTAAGAACAATGAATATGAAAATAATATCCAATGTGATGCTTGCTCGAACCAGTAGTATTTATTTTTCCAGGTTTCAACTAAGGCATGAGACAATACTATTGTCATTAACAATGGACTTGAAACCTCAAAAACTATAAAGATGGTTAAAAACCTCAGTATTTGACAATGGTTGCTTGCTTAAACGAATGCATTTAAGATAATTCTGGTGACAATCTGGATCCAGTAAGCAATTAAGAATTGTTTCGCGGAAGCCAGCCATATTAAATTTGACAGAAACAGTTATTTCAATTTTGATTTTAAACTATTGCATTCTTAAGGATTATTTTATACTTAACTACCAGACATACGCATCATGAATACCTGCAAATATTTCATAAAATATAGATTCTTCCCCAAAGAAATTGTCGCAGAAAAGATACCTATATATGATGAGAAAACAGAATGTCATTATGCAGTTTTTTAGAATATTAGAGAGCATTCTTGTAGTGTGGATTCAAAATTCATAGGCATTTAAATACAATATTGAGGGAGAGAGAAAAGAATAGGGTACTCGGAAGCAGCAGTATCCATAAGCAGTTTGTGCAAGCTCCTGAATAGGACTTCATAAGGATATTTGCGGGAGCTAGCTTCTGCTATATGTGGAATCAATGCAGGCTCCTCAATTTCCTGAAACAAGAAAAATTCAAATCATGAAACAATTTACTAAGAAAGAATATAAGATCATGAGATAATAAAAAATAAAAAAATAAAAGTTTTCCGGGTACAAATGTAGTTGCACAAAGCATAATATGGGAGAAACTCTTTATTTTCTGTTATGCATAAACAATGTGCTCAGCAGTTCTTTCATAATACCATATCAAAGCACAATTCAAAGATGGTAAATGGTAACTCTACAAAGACTAATCTATAAGGATTAAAAACATAACTCCAAAGTGTTATAAGAGTACAAGAATCACATGACAACCAATAGCAATACACCTCTTATCAAATTCATGTAAGATATTGTGAGGTATATGTCGTTAGTTTTACACATGCACGCATTTACATATTCATATGTGTGTGTGTGTGTGTGTGCGTGTGTGTGTGTGTGTGTCTGTGTGTGTACATACCAGATTTTATAAGTATATAGCAATCCTACAAGATAAAAGGACTTGACATGTTGTAAACTGTATGAATAGAATGTCCGGAGAGAAAACAAAAGGAAAATCAGGACAGGTTAATGTCCGATACATTACATAGTAAACATAATACCTTTAGAATTTTATTTCTCTCTCCCAGAGCAAAAACAGCAGACCGGTTCTTCAAAGGTTCTCTTCCTCTTGAGAAAAGACTAGTGCTTCTGGTCTCAACACCAATCAAATCATTAGATGTTGCTATATCCAATTGCAATTTCTCCAACGCTTGAATATAAGCACGGAAATGTGCACTTAGAACCTGCATGTTAAAAAAGTAGAATTTTAATACTTATAAAAGACTAAACTCCTTGCCATATAGTTTTTTATGACAAAGATCCAACCAAATGAAATGTTAAACCATATTAGCTCTTAATTGTACAAGCATTTTTCAGAAAACTAATGCAAATAAACACCTAGGTCACTCATAGAGTCATATGCATAACGCAAGGCGAAAAGATTACCTGTAATGCTTATGCATAAAGCATCAAAAGTTTTCAACACTTAAAAGCCAAATACTTCCGCACTCTCAGCCAACCAAGCTGGCAATCAGTTCACTAGGTCAAGATACACACAATTGCAGTATATGTTGTCAATGCCAGATCCATAAAATTTCCCTTAGGTTATTTTTTTTCTTCTATGTTTTGGGGTGGGGAGGGGTTCTCATGCCTTTTTTAAGGTTTTGGATTTGGGGGGTTAGGGGGATAAGAAAAGACAATTTTTTAAACTTATATAATTTTAATATATAATAAAGTTTAGATTATGAAAACAATTATATACTGTCACAAGGTCTACCTTCACCTCAAATTACTCTGCTTATAAATGTTCAAAATCTAGAAGAAAAGGTTTGATGTAAATACAATCCTTAAATTCCTTTTTTCAGCCTTCCTAATATATAAATAGGGTGAGAGGTATGGAAAACACTAACACATGCTCTCTACCTTTTACATAACTTCTCTTCCTATGTTTCCTACAAGTACATCCTCAATCTTAACATGGTATCAGGCCAAAGGTCTCAAGCTCAAACCTCACCGTCACCCTAATCAAAAAATTGAAAAACACGTGTTGGACCAAAAGAAGGCCACACGTGAGGGGGCATGTTGAAGGATTTATATATTTAAGTTACACCCTCTCTAACAGCTTAAGCTTTTGGAGTAGATGGTTGTTAACAATACTTTATTACATTAGGTATTCTTCCATTTAGTGGGCCTGTAATAATCATAAAAATTCCTGCGTCTTATAAAATTCTCAAATATTTACGAAAGAATAAAAAAAGATGTCATTTCTGAAATATGGAAAGTTGGAAGAAGGTTACTCAAGGATATATAGAAAGTTCTAAGTGAAGTCCATTTCAGAAATTTAGAAAGTTAGATGCAGGTTTCATGATGAATTATGAGAAGTGAATTCAGCATTCATTCCAATAAATATGGATAGTTTAGGCAGAAGCTATTCGAAATACAGAAAGTTTATTCTAGGCTATCCAACATTAACAAAAAGAACTTCCTCCTTGTGTTGGGAGGCCAGCATCTTACTTCTTAGCTCCCCCAATTCTTCAACTTCGATAAAGGAGTATACGGAAAATAATAAATAAACAAATAAAAGAAAACAGAAATAATAAATAAATAAATGTCATTTCTTTTCCACAAGAGTAAAGAGTCGCATTCATGTAGGGATGGGTTGGGGCCACCTCTTGGTGCGAGAGGAGGAATTCGAACATAGAAATTTGCCACCCTATCCATGCAAAGAACTCACACTACTGCTTTAGCACAATTCTTTGTGATATTCACAGGTGCTTTGGTGGAGTATTCCTTAAATCTTCAGTCCCAGTGATGATATCTATGTTTCAGGAGGTTCATGGAAGCCATTACATCAACTTTTTTCTAAAAAGATCCCTCTTTTTGTGCCAAATGCATGCATGAATTTTAATCTATTCTAGAACTTTTTAATTGTTGGTTGAAATTGACCGGACACTTTTGATTGTACTTGTTGGTTGTGTTGTCTCAGGTTATTAAACTGGGAGGACAACAGTTTATTTTCTTGGTTGTCTTCCTAGTTGTACATCTATCGTGTTATCAAACTACAACATCAAATTTATAATAAAAATGCAATGGTTTTTCAGGAATTTTTGACACAAATGCAAAAGATAGCAAACCTACATGGGTAGACACCACTATCATCAAAGGCAAAAATATAATTTTGCGTATATGCTTGAGAACCTTAACAAAGAGAACAACCTTTCAAAAAAGTCTTGAGACTACTTTTATAGTGAAAATCCAGGAAAACAGCAGATCATTTGCTGATCAGTGCACGGTTCAAAAGCAATCAAGATATAGTATTTCACTTTTTTGCACACCATCAGCTTGATATTAAGGCAAGAACAAAGCTTTCAGCCCACTTTAAACAAGTATACCTGGGTCTTTACCTTTTCACAAGGAAAAAAGTTAAACAAGTATACCTCGGTCTTTACCTTTTCACAAGGAAAAAAGTTAAGAGCTTATTCCAGCTTCTGCAGTTTGCTAATTGTTGGACAAAAGGATCTGGTTGCTTATTCAGAGAGAGGAAGAGGAGGGGGAAGGAAAATAAAAAATAAGGTTCTGCAGATATGTAAACTTCGACAAGGATCTAAATAGTATAAGCAAAGCAGATTCATCCATGAGAAGAGAGACTAAAAAGCCATAAGGCCCAAAGATGCAACCATTACAGATTATATCACTCGTTATTTAATTTAACAGGAAGAAGCAGCACAGATATAAATATCATAGTTGAATATTTAAGTATGTTGAAATCTTAGTTCATATCTTTGAGAAATTCTAAAGCATTACCTTGTTCATTGTGTCAATGTATGCTGCACGAACCTCAGTATATATCTCCTTTCCATGTTCCTTCAGAAAGGATATAATGTACCTGCATGTTCAAAAAATATCTATGCACTTGAAACGTGATTGGTCCAAATATAACGAGGGTAAACTATATTATTTTAAGGAAGAGTGAACAATGAAAAATTTTGAGGTATATTTTTTAGAGCATAAAATTATACCTTCTTCAGTGACAAAATTAGAAAGATTTTTTGTTTAACAAAATTTTATTAATTTTGCTGATATCCCATCAATATATCTAACACGAATTAGTAGCTCCATTCATAGAAATCCATGATAGTAGTGGATATAGGGCCATTAATTAACACCCAGCCACCTAGGATTTGTTGTGGGAAAAAAAAACTAGCAAAAAAATAATTATTATTATTTATTTAAATGAAAATTGAATATGTCAAAAACTTCAATCTTGTATCTGCTTTACTATGAACAAGATAATTATAAAATAAACAAGCTAGTCTTTGGACTTCATGAACCTGATGCCGAACCTGAAGACCAGGTCATTTTGTGTGTGTGTGTGTGTGTGTGTGTGAGGGAGAGAGAGAGAGAGAGATTAATGGTGCTAGGTTGCTGCCTCAAACTTTGGACCCACAATTAGGTTTTTATTGTCAATCACTAACATCATCATCTTCATTGTGAGAACTGAGAAGGAAGCTCACTTCCTATCAAAATAAATCACTTGGCCCTTTATCCGAGGCAGGTTTGGGTTTAACAAATTGCATAAGCTAAGATTTTTATTCAAGTGTGTAATAAATTTCTATATATATATATATATATATATAACTAAATGTGACTGTGAGCACTCAAAATTATTAGAACTGGGAATGTGTATGACAAGGTGCAGGGCCGGCTTGGGATGGGAATAAAAAATCCAAGCCTGTTGGACACAAGATCAATCTGTACTTGGTAGTATCACATTGGGGCCACCTTGTCCCTAACCTATCCTATTACCATTGACTCAGTTCTACACTTCAATTCAAAATACAATATAAAATAAAAACAAAAAAAACAATATTCATAACAACGTCAATAATAAAATAAAGGAGACCATTTAAGTGGACACAGCCCCATCCTTAAAATCTTCACATGTTGGTAGTACAGTGACCGTTCGTTGGCGTGCACTTTCCCCTCGCTCTTCTAGATTGCTCTGGATAGACATGCTTTAATCGCTGACTGTTATCCACTTGATAGCGGAAGGATGAATTGGGATATGCGTTTTTCGAGACATTTTTAGGATTGGAAGATGGAGGATGCCGTTGGTTTTTTGGAGCTGCTTTATCGCCAGGAGGTGGATATTGGCACGGCTGACTATTTAGCGTGGGTGCCCTCCTCTCAGGGGAGGTTTGATGTTCGCTCTTTCTATAGGAGCTTGTCGGATGCTGAGGGGCCTGCTTCCCCGTGGAAGGCTGTTTGGCACACTAAGGCCCCCCTTAAGGAGGCCTTTTTTGTTTGGACAGCTGTCCTGGAAAGGGTTCTGACACTGCATTGTTCAATGGCCCGGGATAGTTGTGGTATGATTTTGAGGTTGTTTGGGGTCCAATGGGTTATGCCTCGGTCCTCTAGAGGCATGATAGAGGCTTGGAGAGGTTGTACAGTGGGTTACCCAAGCCTATGACATTTGGAGGGTGGCGCCCCTTTGTATTTGGTGGTTGTAGAGGAAGGAACGGAATGGGAGATCTTTTGATGGCGAGGAGACTCCTATTGGGTCGTTGAAATTCTCTATTTATTCTCTTTTTTGTTGGGTGCTTGGAGAGGTTGTTCAGTGGGTTACCCAAGCCCATCACATTTGGAGGTGGCGCCCCCATGTATTTGGTGGTTGTTGAGGAAGGAACGGAATGGGAGATCTTTTGATGGCGAGGAGACTGCTATTGGGGCGTTGAAAATCTCTATTTATTCTCTTTTTTGTTGGGTCATTGGGAGGAAGTTCAAATCAATGAGGGAGATAGTGGATTTCTTGGATTATATTAAGTGTTTAGGGGCCCCATTTGGCCCTTGTATAGCTTTTGTGGGTTGTGTTCCTCGTTTGAACGCTTTATAATACAATCTTACTTGTCAAACAACATATTTCTAAAAGATTTTCTCCCCTTTAAGGAACTCCTATCAAACTTCAAAGAAACTCCTATCAAGAGCACGATTTCAAAGAAACCATACAAGCTAAATGACATTAGGTTAGCACAAAATAATGAACCAGCAGAATGTATCAGAGACACCTGAGTAGTAGATCGTAATACACATGCCTATTAACTATAAAAAATAAAAAATAAAAATTATCATTTTTTCATGAAAGTATAAAATTTTTTTGTACAGGAAATAAGAAAGAACATAATAATCTTCCCAAGATGAGAAGAATTTGAATATTATTTCAGAATTGATTACCTACTGTGAACTAGAAACAATAAATTGAAAAAAACATAAATTAGGTTATCTTCAATCCTCAACAGGTTAAAAGAAGCAAACAACAAAAACTACAGAAAAAAAGGTAGTTAACGTAATTCACGTAAACAACTGAATTATTGACTTATAATTAATTCAACAACTCTTAACAAAAATGTTTCATATCCTAAACAACAACATGCTGAGATCAGATATAAATGATGTTTTGGAACATAAGTAAACTAATAATTAAACAGAAGCAATTCAATCAACCAAAAAAACTAGCTATCATAATGAGGCCAATTATAACAAAAAGAAATAGATTTAGTTGTAGAAAATTAAATACCAGACCACATAATAATATAAGTACCATAAAAAAAAATCAAATAGACACCAACTCACTTGTATTTTAGAAGAACACTCTGTTGAAGGATCTGGATATTTGTTTTGGGTTTTCTAAGTGCATAGAGCTTCTGAACAATGAACTCAAACACCTAAAGGAAGAAGAAAAAAAGAGAAAAAAATAAAAAAAAATAAGAAGACGACAGAATTATAAAGAATTACTCCGTACTTGTCAATCGACAACATCTCCAATAAAACTGGAGTTTAAGGAATTAACAACAGATTATCATTATAAGATTAATCATAGAAGATTATCCAAGACTAATATAATATTGAGAACATCACCAATCGCAAATTCAGTTTCTAAAATAATAACCAAGACAATCATAGGATTATTTGTTTCAGTTCTCGGAGGATACTCAAGAACCCCAGGGAACTACCTAAAATTGGACTTTTATTCAACAAAAGATTTCAAACAGTTTTTATAAGACAGACAATCAATTCGAAGTGCTTCCTATTTTTCCATTGAAAACAATAAACTATTCTTAGAAAACTAAACCAAGCAGACCCTGAGTCTGCTCATGAAATGAATCTCAAACATGATAGTTGGTATCAGAATGTAAGATACAGACCACATTGAAGAAATTCCTCAAATAAAGTTGATCATCAGTGTACTATTAGCAATATTACGAGATAAATAAAGCACTTTACTGTGGCCCACACTGCAAGTGTGGCCTTAGCTTAAGCCCTAACAACTAGCAGGCTGAGAAGCATTTTGATGACACATGTCAACTTGTTACATACTTCATATATATCTGAATCGTATTACATAATCCCGATAGAGAAAATTGTTGTTATGGAGCCACTAGGTCGATGAGTTGGACACTTGGCTAGCATTCCATACTTCACACTGTACTTCCTTTTTTATACCACTCAAAAAGTAACGAAGCTTTATTAAAAAGTAAATAAAGAAGGACCCACACACAACACAAGGTGCACACAATTTTATGAATAGGCCATAATGAAAAAGGTACCTAGAATAATAAATTTAAGCTTAATTATAGAGACTACTCTATAATTTGAGAACAATTAAAAATTGTAGGTGCACACTCCCTTATTGTATCTTCTTTTACAATACCAATGTTTTTCTACATTAAAAGTTGTCTATTGAATGCTTGACATGGCAATGCTAAATTTTTCTTTTAAAAAGTCAGATATGTATCTGCTATGTCTGACACAATTCTAGGCATGTCCAACATGATGAGAGACATATACATACTGTTAATAAGATCCCCTGCTTCATTGCCTGCAACTTACTTTTTCTTTTTTTTTCTACAACAAAATTTACCAGAGCGAGTAAACACAAAAAGAAAGGTGAGGATCCTTCATAGATAGGACACATTCAGTCCAAATTATAAAGTGGCAATACAATCAACAGGAACACCATGCAAACAATTTTAAGAAGGGTATTAAGGTCCACTAAAACAGATCAGAAAGAGAGACCATATATTAGCCCAAAAAAAAAAAAGTGAGAAAAATATAAAACAAACCTTACCTTTGAGACAGCTTTCTGACGAAGTCTTTCTAGCTCAGGCTGAACATCTTTTAGAGCTTTTGAAGTTTTAACCATAGGATCCACTTCAACAAACTTCAGCTTCTTACTCAGAATCTCAAGAGTTCTCATATATTCATCATTAACCTGAAGATAAACTCTACTATAAGTAGGTTAGCAACAACAAAACAATAGCAGAAGTGAACAGAATAGTACACAAGTGATGCTTGAATGATTCTCAAAATGATTTTTTTATGCAAGGTGTATCAAATCCAATATAATAAGTGATATGTGCAAGAACATAGGTTCCATGAATGGAAACAATGCAAATATACTTTTTTTTTGCCTAAATTAAATGAACTATACTGTTACATAAATATACTCAACAAAGAAATACATTACAATTACTTTGACACCCTATGGTTTAAATATTAATGAGAAACAAATTTTGCGAATAAAACTTTAATATTCATCAATCATCGTCATCATCATTGATGAGGAAGGCGAAACAGAATTAATTAAAGACTGGAAAAAGAGTACATGGGAAGGTTAACAAACCTTCTAGCTTGAGAAACAAAAGCCCAACACAAGGCACCTGAAGAAACACAAACAGATGCCAACATCCACTCCAACCCACAAAACATCAATAAGGGATCAAGAATGAACCCCACTTGACGCCATCCAGGAAATCCGTACTTATCCAATGTATCATCATCTTAGCTATTTGCAAAAATTGGAATATATATGATCACCTCAGTGTTGTTAAAGGCGCGCCCAGGCTCGCACCTAGGCTCGAGGCTCAAGTTTAGCGCCTGTTGTCATCCCAGGCTCACTGATATTTACTAGGCGCGTGCCTCGTCCTGTTTGTGAGGCGCGCCTCACTGATATTTGTTTAAAAAAATACAATTGTTCTATTTCTTAAGCCAAAAAGGATACTTTTGGCAACTTAATAAACAAAAAGAAAGCCCAAGCATACGATAGAAGGAATTTTGTACAAAAGAATAAAAAAATAAGAAAGCCCAAGAGTCAAAGTGTTAACCGAACAACGATAAAATGAGATTGTGAGACGAAGACGAAACCCTAGTTGCAGAGATGAACGACGAAACCACGTCAATTATTTCTTTCTTCTTCTTCTTCTTTCTCTCTTCTCCTCTAGATCTCCCCTCTTCTTATCTTTGTTTACATCTCTCTCTACGTCTAGTTCTCTTCTCTCAGTGTCTTTTTTTTTTTTTTTGGTTTACATATTTATTTCTTTTTGTGCTTTGTTTTGCCAATCAAAAACACATTTTGCTTTGCCTTTCAAGAAAACATATTTGTGCTCTGTTTTATGGTTGGATGCTTGTATAGTTGATGGATTTACTTTTTTATATTTGATATTAATTTTTAGAATATTGATATGACTTATGAGATATGAATGCTATTATGGTAGCTTAAATTTTCAATTATGCGCCTCACTTCACTCAGGCGCGCGCCTCGCCGTGCGCCTCACGCCTTGGCTCCAAAGGACCTCTAGCGCCTTGGGCCTTTAATAACACTGATCATCACCTTTCTAAATTCGTGAATAGATCAATGATCTCTCTCATCAAATAGTTATAGTGCCAACATTCCATGGGCCCGCCCTCTAATCCATCTAACCACAACATAATATCCATCCACAAACAATGATGAAACCCCACATGAAAAGCCATCCTAAGACCTTGCAAGAGAGTTAGAATCTCCATAGTCCATATTATGGCGAATAAATGCTGAACGACCTGAAGACCTCAAGAATCATGCTCCCTATTGAGTCTCTAAAAATGCCTCCAGTTCTCAACCGGCCCAGCTTCCAAAATGAGCAACCACTAAAGACACTGTTATTTTATTCCGCGACTGAACATGAATAATTTGTTGGAGAGGGCATCCGTGGCTTATATTTTATGTCCTCTTAGTCTGAATAGATATAGAACATTATGAATTAAGCACAATAATACTCAGGCAGTAAAAATTAGTCTAAAAAAGCCATTGCTTGGTACAAATAGGTAAAAGGCTGAATTACTGTGCTTTACATTCTTAAGTCCTATTATTCAAAAAAGGCCATTGCCTAGTGCACCAGCAAAATGCTTAGGCTGTCAAGCGTGAGAACATGGGTTTGAATTGTGAGAATGGCTACTTTGCATCCATTATACCAAAAGTTTTGTCTGTAACCAGTCCGTCCCTCCCCGCACCCTTAGTCAAGGAGGCCCACAGTTGACAATAATAACCCTTTTTCTAAGAATTCTTAATCACTGCTCGTAAACATGTATCCTAGAGGGGCATTTGAAACTTGGAGTTTAAGATTACGGATTGAAGTGAACATTATGATAATGGATGTCTATTTTGAGGTAAAAAGGATTTGCAAAATCTTGGAACCTCTTTAAAAAATCTGTAAAGCTTTTCAATGAGTTAAGTTCACAAGAAAATGAACAAAGCACAAAAATAGGGATCTTGGGGTTTCCATCCCTCAGTTCAAATGCATTAGGAACGAAAGTAAATTAACTACTAACCATGTTTAAGTTGTTAGTCAAACAAGTATGTCATTTTCAAAACAAAGAAAACAGAGGAGATGGATGCCAAGAAGTGCAAAAGAGAGTAGACGTGAGCAGGTTGAAGTTCGTGCTTTAAAGAAAAAATTAAATGAATACCAAAAAAACAACAATACCTCTCCATCAACAATTATGTCAATCATCCTTGGAGGGACAATAATATCTTCAACAAACTTTGCCAATTTTGATTCTGCTACCTGTAAAAGAACATAAACCAACTCTTACAAATTATGGCATAAAAAGCTATTAAATAAGGAAAAAAGGAAATTAAACAATAAAGCAGTGAAAAGAAGGTTATTGATTAGCAGATATGACAATTTATTGCTTGGTTGAAGCATTATGTTCATCGTTTGAAATGTGTATTGTATGTCCCATTTCTTCTAAGAGTAAGCAAATGAACTTAAACCCCATATTAGAGGACAAGTAAATAATAACAATTTAGATTTACATCCCATTAATCACCCCAAGGTAAAGAAAAAAAAATTGCTTTAGTGCAGTAGTTGTTTGACCAGTTCCTAGCAACTGAATTTCAGTAACTCCAATCATTTAGCAATGTCTCCCAACAATCTTTCCCCACGAGCAAAAAAGGAATAAGCAGTAAAAAACTGATTCTTATAAAAAATTTAGAAAGGAAAATTATATATATTTTTTATGATGAGTCAATTTACAATCGAAAGAGAAAATATGACTGGGAAAAAAAACAAAAAACTCCTCCGTTTTCACATACCCAAAATCTGATTATATTCTGCATAAATAAGGCACACAAGAAATAGCTTTGCAGCTTTATAAGATTGTTAAAGATAAGATCCACTTCACTTCGTTATTGACTGTAAACGAACCAATATATATATATATATATATATATATTTGCTATGTACAAAATCAAACTGGACGATAATAAAAATTTTGTAATAGTGCAAACAATAATATTCAGTAATAACACATGAAAGAGCCAACAAGTTTTCAAGGAATGGGCTCCAAGCATATATATATTAATATATTAACTGTCCTCTATTGAACTACAAAAGATTGGTTTAAGGTTGCAACAGGTGTTCCCCAATAAATGATTCTTGTTTTAGAGGAATCGGCCCAAAATAAATCCGATTCAGCTGCCCTAAATAGATTTATACTTAAATAAAAATAAATAAAAATCAGATATCATATATATTTGCACAATGAAAACAAATGTTTTTTTTTACTTGAATCAAATGATAACAGGAAACAATTAGGGAGATACATTATTGATTTTGTAGCGGTAAAGGGGCAAAAAATGAGTAGTTGATTGGTAATTTTCATCAACAAAACACGGGTCTTAATTGATTAATTTTTTTATTGATTAATTTAATTCTGACTGGGTCGGTCAGTGGTCTTGATTTATCATCTGATTTGATATCATGAATGTTGCGGCTTTAGACTGGTTCAGGATCAAGAAGATCGGATGGTTATGGCATTGAGTTTCAAAATGATGGTCAACTAAAAATCTATCACACCCCTAAGCTTAGTTGGACTAAAATTGATCAAAATTGTTTTAAAAAATATTAGACCAGCTTCACACAATGTCCTAAAAAGTTTTAATGGCTAAATACATGTTTTTTCTCAAAATAATACAGATGGAGACTATTTTCCAAAATTTCATTCAAAACAAAGGCTGGAATGGAGAATAAGGACATAATTTGTGGGCATACTAGAATAATTGTTATTAAAAGGGCAAGTCTTCCATCTTTTGACAAGTATTGTCGCTTCCACCCCATTAACCTCTTGGTCATCTTCTTATCAGCCCACTCCACCACCTCGTCCCAAATACACATGGTACCATGGGGCACTTCCAATGGTAGGCCCAGGTAGGTGGCCAGAGAAGTTCATGGCCTAAACCCAATATAGGTGCAAACTGTCTACATTGTCCACTTTCCTGTAGGGATCAACTCCCCCTATCCAAATTCACTTTCAATTCAGACAATGCCTGAAAGAACAGAACACCACATTTTTAGGTTCTTCGGTTGATCTTCCTCCACCAGCTGAAGAAAATCGTGTCATCCGCAAATACAAGATTCAAAGCTACCAAATTTTTTCCCCTTGCTGCCCCTATCTTAGATAGTTAAGACTCCTTAGCAAAAACCTTCCTTCACTGTCCTACCCAGCATACGATTGAAGATTTCATCATGAACTCACCGACATAAAAAGGGAAAAGAGAATCCCCTAAACTAAGTTCCCTTGAACTGTTAAGCTCTACTGCTGGAGCATCATTAGTAAGAATGGACAACTTAACTGTAGAAATGCAAAAACTAAATCCACTGTCACCACCTGTGTCCAAAATTTATCCTCTTTACCATATGCAAAAGAAAGCCCCAATAGAAATACATATAGACCAATTTTATTTCGAGATTGAAAACTACCCGCAACTCACTACTCTTCAATCTCAAATCCAATCACTCATTCACCACTAGCTTCATCAAGAATTATAGGACCACATAAGAGTCTTTTAAGACTTCAAGATAACCGTCCTTTCACCATTTTAAATTCTAGAGCCTAAATTTTTTATATAAGCTTATACAAGCCACCAATCAAGCTAATTTGCCAATAGTCTTTCAAGTCCTTAACACCTCACTTCTTAAGGATCGATGCAAGAACAAGGCGTTTAGGCTCCTCTCAAACTCCTTATGCTCATGAAAATGATTAAATAGTAGCCATATCATCCAATTCACTCCAGAAATGAAGCCAATATCATTCCATCAGGACAAAGATTCTTATCCCTATTGCAGCTCTTCAAAGCTCCCAACATCTATTCAGTAAATGGTCTCTTAAACCACTCCCTATCCCCCTCCTCAAATGTGTTAAAAGTCAATACATCAAGCCTTGACTGCCACCGATAATTCTATGAATACAGCAGCTCATTGAACTTAACAAAGCCATTTTTAATATCCTCCTTTATACTCAACTCTACCCCATCAACCACAATCCTCTCCATAAAGTTAACACATTGACCCAGATTAGCCAAACAGTGGAAGAATTTGATGTTCTTACCCTCCTCCTTCAACAAGAGTGCCCAGGACTTCTGCATCCAACTAATCATTTACATGAGTACTATCCTTAGTCCATATCTTCAAATGTTCCTTACACATATTGCTAATTTTTTCCTTATTCCATATCTTCAAATATTCCTTACAAGTTACAACACTTCAACTTACGAGCTAAAATATGACTCAGGGATCCCATCACCCTATACTCCTCCCACCAGCATCTGGCACGCTCTCCAATCCCCTCTTCCTTGAGCCACATATTCTCACATCCAAAAGGCCCCTTCCCCTTTCTAAGCCCTCGAATATGATCAGAGAACATTTTAACCAAGGCCGAAGATTTAGGAACATCTGGTAATATATTCTCCCAATTCTTTGAGATCAGAAACCTATCTAGCCTGTAAAAGATGGGAATATCTCAATAATCTAACACACGCGCAGAAGCACACACTATCCAGAGACTTCCCAACAAACACAAGCACTCCGCCCTTTGGATTGACTGAAAAATCAGACAGTTTTGACTCGAAATAAATAAATCAATTAAAATTTAGAATTTCCTTGTATGGAATCAACAAATTGTAATATTTCATGCTTGCACTAAATTTCCTACTAATTAGCATCAAAACCCTAAATCAATGACATAATATCTCATATGCAATCCGAGAGTAACCAGTTGTTGAATACTCAGCACGCTTCATCACCTGAAGCCACAAACTACTGCTACTTCTTTTATGATAGGAAATTACAATTCTATTATGAAAGGCAAATCAATAAACAGTAGGACAAGACCCTACCAAAAAAAAAGGACAAGACCCTACCACCAGGATACATGAGAAGGCAAACCGTTGCCAATTCTTGAAGATAGCAGCCCTTCACGAAGCACAAATTATATTGTTGTTTAACGTTATTTTTTACAAAAATAAATTATATATATAAGGGGAAAATACAACCAGAACAATATAAGAGCATCACTAACAATGGTACCTTGCGATTTTTCAGCTTCAGGCCCATATCCATAGATTTCTCCTGAAGAATTTTTATGTCCGAACTTATGGAGCCAATCTCAGCCTAGCAAAAATGATTCTGGAATATTAATAACTTTGATGACACGAGACTTATAGATGAAAGACTAAACATGAGCAGAAGAGGAGATAGATAGATAGAGAGAGAGAGAGAGAGAGAGAGAGAGAGAGAGAGACAGCTACAGAAAAACCGAAGAATAAGCCATTCTCATTCTGTAAGAATTAATCAAGTATGCCCAGCCGATTAAACAAAGAAACACAATATCATATGACATATATCTAGATTTAGGACTTCAAACCACAAAATGAAAATACAATGCTACTCCATCCGCTAGATATTAAAATTCCAGCTCATGCAGGTATAATTGGTCCCTGATGATACAGGACACTGAGCATATAAACAAATCATTTGATATTTCCAACAGCTTGTTTCTTCTTGGTATTTTATTTCCTTTGTATAAAAAGAGTTAGCAATAATGGAGCAGTTGAACATTATTCAGATTCTGTAGGTGTGATAATCAAGGGCAAGTTCAGAGATTTTAAAATTTTGGAGAATTTTGTTACTTTGCATGATGGTAATTAAAATCTTATGAGGGAAAGGTTATCAAGATGAATTCTGTGACAGAATGGGCGGCTTTGCTCTGCTGGCAGAAACAAAGTATTAAAATGTTGCAAATTTGCAGCTCGAAGAGTGAATAAGCAATTAGTGACATTTGTTGCAAGATAAATTTTCATAAATTTTCAATAATTTTAAACAGTTAAGTACAGGATAAGAGCCTTACTTATCTGTCAAAAAGAATTCATATTCATGAACTACAAATGCAATAAGGACAATTCACATCAAGGTTTTCTAGCAAAGCAACATTACAGATATTGTTTAGACTTGCCAGGAGACATTGAAATGTACACAGTTTATATAAGACTGATAAATGATAAATGATTCCAAAGACTTAATAATCACGGATGTGCCTAAGGGGACCAGGTGAGGAGGAAAGAAAACAATAGAGATGAATCAGAAAATAAGTTCCGCTCTAATTTAATAAAAAGCATCAAAGCCTCGCTGAGAGGAAAAAAAATTTTGGACCACTAGAACTTATCCACAACATATTGGCAATAAAGAGGAATCATGTTAATTTTTCTTTGAATATATGCAGTTCAACCAGTAGTACGAACAAGAAGAAAAGCAGCTACTGTAGAACTATAAGATATATAAGATACCTGAAATCCACTGAGTAGGGTTTCCATTTGTGACAGGATGCTGTCACAATCGCGAATTTGATCATGAAGCGAGACTAGATTATCACTTTCTTTTATGTAATCCTGTTGTTAGAACAAAAGAGTGATACTAAGGTGTAAAAATATAGTTTTTAAAAGTAAAAACAAGGAAAAGATATTGAAGAGATTCTACCCCATACATTTGCGTTCAAGAGACTGTCAAAATGAAATCTCCACAAAAATACTTATCCAAAAAAAGAACTCCGCATAAATACAAAATAATAAATTTTATGTATATTGAACAACAAGATGCTTCATATGAGAAAGGATGACAAACATACCAAAAAGCCAAAATAAAATTGAGATGATAAACATTTCCAAAAATTAAGGTTTCAATCTTTTAGCAGAAAAGATCATCCTGAGAAGGTGAGTCCTTGATATTGTTGATAGAAGGGTTCATTATATTCATAAATGTTTGCACATTATGTAATTGAAATATTACCGTAGATGATGAATAGAAAAGGCAGATAAGAAACTTATATTCGGAAACCGAATTTTACGACGGAAATAGGTATCCACATTCAATCAGGATTATAGAATTTGTTGTCAATAAATTATCATCTGTATTGTACTGTAAATAACATGGTAGTGTGAATTATCTACCATAAGGAAAGAGGGAGGAGACACATTCCTTGGATTCAGTTGAAAGTTTTCTTCAGTTTAAATGGAGCCTACGAGAATGTTTAGAAGTAAAAAGAATTCAGAATATAAATCGTAGAAAGTATGGAAAGCTAACATTTTTTTCCAACTGGTCAAGAACTCCCTTTGGAGCTTGAATCTCTGCAAGAAAATATTGCAGGATCTAATCACCAACCTGAATCGAATCCAATTCAACTTGCCGCAAATTGTTTTCAACACCTTTTGTGTACTCCCGTAATTTTGTACCCTTTGACAGTATGTTTGCAACTACCTGTTACACGAACAGATAAAGGAGGCAACCAAAGTCCGTTTAAGGTGTTGACCAGCAGGAAGGTTAATAGCAAATGAAATCAGAACAAAATAATAAACAAACAAAAACTGTGTCAATATTAGAAAATATTGTGACTAGTAAAAGCAACGTGCCAATTACTTTCTCTAAAAATTATAGATGTTTGAGAGCAGCATATTAATATGTGTAGAACTCAGAACATCATGCTTAAAAAGATTGGAACCAAATATAGTACTTCCCTCCTACTCCCTCACAAAAATACCCTGTTATAGAATTATAATCTTTATCATATCAACTGAATTTGATATGTGGTTTGAAGAAGCAGATGCAACCAGGGACACAGACACGGATGCGGTGTAATGAACTCGGAAACAAATCAGGCCAAATATAATGGAATCAGTTTCTGTAGTCATGAAATTTTCTCAACCTTGCAACACCATCAGATGTGCTGACTCAGTCGACTCCCTAGGGACTCACCCGGATCTTGCGCAATTCCGATTCCCAATGATATATCAAAGAGTATCAGGGTCGAACTCGGTCAACTCCATTATGACTTGCCGAGTCACTGAGAATCAGCCGATACGGAGGACTATGACTTGATATCAAGAAATAAAAGCATGGTAGAAAAAAAATAAACAAAGTAATAAGATTTTGGAGGGAATTCACATGATTGACTTCCCGAAGGAGATAAAATATCTATGAAGATTCAAAAGGAACTAGTATTCCCATGTAATTTGTGACCTTGCCATGTATTCCCCAGAAAGTCATTGTCATGGCACACTCCACCTTTCCACATCCAGCTTTGGCGCCACCTCTTCCAGGCACATATCCCCGGGAGAACTCGTAGGTTTGTCGATGAACTATCTGACTCTCGTAGTAATGAATGTGAAGCCCACTTCAAATCTCTCCCAGATCTCCTCAACTGGGCATCGAGAGGCTCGTGCAATCAACGAGAAAATCGGGATCGTCAAGACAACCAATATATCACCTTGCAATGTACCACCCCTCTAGATGACTTGGTTCTCCATCTATTGAGCCGGCATGTGGGTGCACCCACAAATTTTAGGGGTGGCAATATTTGACACGACACAAACACAACACGAGATAAGCGGGTTTGGGTTTGGGCTAATTGTGTTCGTGTCATAATCGTGTCGACACGGATTGACCCGCTAACTAAACGTGTCGTGTTCGTGTTTGACCCTGTAAACACAATTAACCCGATTAACTAAACGTATCAAATAAACGTGTCGTGTTCGTGTCAAAAATGACCCATTTAGCAAAACATGTAGAATAAATATGTCGTATTCATATCAAAAATGACTTAAATGCGTCTTTTCGTGTCGTGTCAAGTCTTGACTCATTTATTAAACAAGTTATGCGTGAAGTATTGTGTTACACGTATAATAATCGTGTCGTGTTCGTGTCAAGGGTCTTAGACACGATTAATAATCGTGTCGTGTTCGTGTCAACCCTAATCGTGTCCGTGTCGACACGAACACGACACGCCAACACGAATTGCCAACCCTAACAAATTTGCCCCAGTAAGCATGCATCCTAACACATCTTTATACCTATATGGGTCAACATATGGCCAAGGAGCTCCTCGAGCTCAATGCACAACCATGGTGTGATTTCAGGATTGTGCAGCAGTCCTCACCAAGATTTTAAGGGTTTGTGGTTTGACATAAAACCAACCAATAGCCAAGGTATTGTAGTTAAAGAGCCTTAGAAAGAGAGAGCCAAATGTCGTCCTTTCAGACAAATATCTTGCATTCCATTTCACCGAAGACTAGCTAACACTACATTTAGCCAGGTCAATCCGACATGTACATTGGTTATCGCCATCTGTCCTCTACACACCTGTACTCCTTTATACAAGGAATGACCCAATATCATTTTCAACTTGGATGAACTTTTGTACCAACATCAAAGGGGAAGGAGCACTGTGATCTAGGGATTCTCCAGACTCCATCAATGCCACACTCCCACTATCCTAAGGTTGCCTCAGTTTTCACCCTACACAATGTCTTAGGTTTTTTATTATCCTACATGTAACCTTTATCTTTACAACCAAACCTAAGAACATAACCCATGCATCTATAGCATATAAGAATCAGCGACCTCCCTAATTTTCAAGAAAAAATGAGTACTGGTGGCTCTTTTCAAATATAAGACGCAGCAGCTCATTATCTGGGCAGGGCTTCCATCCAACCATAATGGAAAATTGGCAATGGGTCAACGACAAGTGCTGGAAATTTTGATTAGTGCTGGAAAGTTTGAAGTTGTGATCTACAGAAAGGGAGAATAACAATCATCCTCAATGCCTCCCAAATTCATTAGGATTGACCAGGCAAGTCTAATGCAGATGCCAACCTATATATAATCATATCTTCCACCAATGATATTCTTAAAAGCCATCTCACCAATTCCTTTCACGCAAGTAATAAGATGATCTTAAAATTTTAAATTTTGATATCTAAATTAATTAATCATGTAAGACTAGGGAGAGTAGACTTATATGATTTGGACAAACACATTGGATATCAAGTGACGCGCCAGTCAAACGAGGAAGGCTAGTTATCGTAGAAGGTAAGAGGAGGGGTTGACCAAAAATAACATGGGATGAGATTATTAAAAATGACCTCAAAAAGTTAAATATAGTAATCGATATGGCACTTAATAGAAAAGAGTGGAGACAGAGAATTCATGAGAATGACCCCCACTCGTGTGTGTTTAAGGCAAGGATGATGCTGATGTTGATAAGATGTCTTATCAAATTGAAATCATTACTCAACTAGGACTCTACCCATAACCTAATATATATGACCTTCCTAGAGTAAACTAAGTTCCAACACTTAGTATAATATGGAAGAGAAAGAGACGGCTGAAGGACGGAGAATGTGAGAAGACTAATTATGCAACTCTGAAGTTGAAAAAGAGGCAAATAAAATCTTACCTTATTTCTATATATATTTGTACGTTGAAAAAATTTACTAGCTGTGATTATCATGGTTATTGTGCCCTTAAATTACAAGTATGCATATATAGAACTATGGAAAAACCATGTTTGAGAACATATATAGACTAAACATATATAGGAATACGACGTGAATTTATGGATATAGAAACATCGGGTAAAGGTAAACAATATTTATAAAGGTATCAATTATACTCGTTGAAATTCTTGTTTATGTATAACATGTATGAATATGTGCATTGATCTATGTATAAACTCTAATATGTTCAGATTGGAATTACTGCGAGATGTACAAGTATGTTGTGTGTGTGCGAGCGCGCGTGTTGGTATCATGGGTCCGTGTATACATATATATAGGTTTATGTATATATGATTAATTAGGTATCTAAATATTGATATATTGCTTTTGGGGATGAAATTTATGGCATGCATATACATATATTACTACATGCTGGTCATAATGGATGTATATGTTATATTTCATTGTACTTTAATGGCAATTCAACCAGTTGTCAAAGGCAGATTTACCGAGGCTCTAAGAAACTAGCAGAGAGTAAAAAGGAAGTAAGCTTTACTTTGGAACTGGGGCTGAATTAAATTCAGTCAAGGAAGCTTGGATTTCCCTATGTAAGGATTCTCATATTAAAAATTGTAAAGGTTACAAAAGGTCATTACTCATTGCGAGCAATTTTGATTAATCAAGAATATTCAAAGGGATGCTGACCTAATCATTTTCTTTTTATTTTTGACATTATTTGCAAAAAGTGACTAACTTGACAATCGAATACATGTACTCCCATTTATAGGAGAACTTTTTACCGCTTCACCAACTAGAAACCTAGCAAACTAGAGGCTGTCCATCATACCATCCCAGGACTGATATAACTTCCATCATGGCAAACTTAATAAGCTTCACATTGATGTTTATGGACTCAATTATGCATGTGGAATGTGGGTTCATTTCTAAGAATCAAATTCTTCTGATTATTTAAAATTAGGTTACAGGGACTCTGCTATAGTTTCTGAGTGTCCTGAACTAGGTACTCGTGATTTCGTTCAAAAATATAATTACAGAGGAGAGGAGGATGTGCTAAAATTCTACAGTTCATGAGGAACTACAAATGGAAATCTTAAATATCCAGATAAATTTAGGATATCACAAAATAGAGTTTAAAAACAAAATCTCGACCTCTGGAACTATAGAAATCTAGGAGGCTTATGAACACAACAGGGAAAAAAATCTTCAACACTTCCAAACAAATAGATTCCCACAGCCAAACTAAAGCAATAGACGGAAAAGGTTAACAATGTTTGCCACAAAAATCTCAAAAAAATGAAGAATCTCACAAAAATGTTGATATTTTCTTATTACTTCCTCTCTTCTTATCCTCCTCCCATTTCCGACAGGGGGCACAACAGACATGTCACAGGTGTGACCCACACCCATCCATTTTGTACAGTTGTTTTAGATACCTTGGGTAAAGAAAATGAGTCCAGATAATATAGATTTTCACTAGCATTGACTGTCAAAGGGATTTAAATGTAAGAATAGATGTCCTGCAACTTGTTACAACTGAAATACATGAGCTTCAGTTTAGCAAAAATAACTTTTATTTTCTATAAGCAACAAAAATTCTGAGCAGTATAAATGGGGAAAACAAAGGAACATACAGTAAACGATCAGTGCAACTTGAAGAAGTATTATTGACACAAACATACATCAAACACATGAAGATCCAAACAAAAATAATAATAATCTCACATCATCACTTTTACATTCTTCCAACTCTTGTTGTAGTCCTTCGAATGATATGTCATCACTACAAAAAAAGTCAACCAACAAATATCATCTCAGGCTGCCATCGTGGTATTAGAAAATTACAAATTTGACACAATATGTTGTTCAAAACAGTATTTAGGTATGCTAGTAGAAATCTATCTGTGACAAGAACAGAATGCACAGAAAACGTGCTATACTGCTCAAGTAACATATATTCATGAAATGAGAAGCAAACTCAAGCACAGGAACATGTTTTATACCAATCAATAAATAAAAGCAAGTAAATATAACAGCATGTGTTTAATCATTTGCTAATTTCAAACCCTGGAACCTTAGAGTTTCTGATAATAATGGTATTTAATAAATTTCAATACTTTCAACATTGCAGAACTTCAATTCCTTCCATACAGAATATTACTTGATTCAATGATTTTTAATAAGCTATGTAATATTCTTGGGAAATCATTTTATTTGAAACAAATTTCATAACTAACGTTCTAGAATGAGGTGAATACAGTCAAAAAATACTGTACAAAGTGGCTATGAGAACTCCGTAATTTGGAAATGGTTACAAAATCTATCTTTCAAAGGACATACCATAATCTGTACCTTATACATTGAAACCTACATACAAGATACACGCAAAACATGTTCCTTGATTTCCCAAAATGTTCAACTGCATGATTAAGGGTACATCAACTGTTCAAAGAGCCCCGTAAATTTATTACGTCTCACATTTAAAAGACATGGGAATTATGGTGCTTACCAAAGATTGTTTAGATTCATACACCTTATTTTAAGATAATCCAACACAACAAAGGATGATTTACAGCACAGACTGATATAGTCAACTAATGAGAATGAATAACTCTGTTGATTCAGTAAAAGGGTCACTATCCAGTGTGGTCCCCATTAATTGAAAGTCCCACAAAGTGGCTACTCGATTCAAACAAGCATTTTCTTGCTTGACAGCCCAAAAAATTACTAGTGCACCAAGCAAAGGCCCCTAATTTTGTTAATACAATCTGATAAATTAATATAATAAGAGTTGTTACAAAATGACATTTGTGCGCATAGAAGTATTACTTTTTTTTTAAATTTGAAAATCACTTTTATAATAAAACCAAGAGTAAGTATCAACTTACATCATAGAAGTCATATTTCACCAAGCCCACTAATGTTCTAGATGCTTTAATAATCATCATTGTCATGCATGCCAGATATCAAATAAATCAGATAAGAGAAAGCGCCCTATCCATTTATTCACATTTCTCTAAAAAAATTATCAAGTTAATCGGATATCACAATAATATTTTTTTATAATTTATCAATAAGACAAACGTTGAACAAGGGCAAAGCATATGAAATTAAAACCTGTGAGGTGGGTATACCAGCAACTCAAAAATGCAGTGTCGGAGAGGTGGGTAACTGCTTACACAAAAACTAAGCACTGGTACTTGAATTGGCAGTTTTCGAAAAAAACGAACTTTTAGAATTGAGCATTGTGGCATTGTGCCCATGTTGAACACTCATCGGACACATCTTGAGCATATCAACAATTTAAAAATTAAATTTCTTAATCTAAAACACATGGCAAATACTTCCTACAAGCATGGGATGTAGCTGCTAATCCACTCTTCCTACAAGCCCTGAGAAAGGACAAAAGAGAGGATCCTACAAAAAATCATCCCTCTTAATAACAAAGCCACTTGATTGGCTATAGAGATCTAAAAGATCTAGAAAAAAATAATTCAGCAATCACGCTGGTAAAATGGGAGCGCCAACCAACCAAAGCAATACCCTTTTTCTCCAACAAATCGGTAATGTAGGAAGATGTGGGTAATCTGCACTTTCTGAATGAATATATTTACTTAAAGGGATACAAGAAGAACCATATCTGCATGTACCTTGCTTCATCTCATGGTAAACCCACTAGAATAACATGTAGTAAATACAAAAAAGAGCCAATCTAGTGCCTAAAATATTTCGGAATTCGACTTCCCTTTCCATTAAAAATTTTTAAAAAAAAAAAAAACCATAAAATATACAATGTGCCAAAGTTGTACTCACTATATCACAGTGCAGATTACTCAGCCTTCATTCAATATACATTCTTTGATTTGTTACATCCATGTTTTCGTTTAGTCTTAACTAGGATGTGACATACTATTCGCGTAATTGATTTCCACAATATAAGTAAACACACTAACAAACACACACATATATGAGTATTCTCACTATAAGCCCGCGATCAACCATTGGATCGCCACTCACAATCCAACAGTTAAGGACCTGAACTCGCCCGAGAGCTCTCACGATAGCTGCTTCACACACGCGCGCCCAATTAGTTCTAGCCTCAATTGGTTCTTATGGTGATGAAAGGAGAACAACCCTTGAATTTTATAAATGCGTCAATAAAATAGCCATACCTGGTTGCATCCTCCTCAACAGTTAAATCCCCAACGAAGGCTCCCATATCAAATATAGATTTCTGGGACTCTAGTGTTTCATCATAAGATTGACCCTGCACACAAACACAGACCGGTGTGAATCTATATAGAATAGGGAGAGAGCACATATAGTAGACTAAGACAACAAAAGCCGTCTCAACATCTACGGTGTTGTGTGTAAAGAAGTAAAGAAGTTGAATCCATACCACTTTGCTAGTTGCGACCTCAGCCATCTCGTTCAACCAATCCAGTGATCAACAAGTCTAAAATTGTGCTGTATATTTTAGGATTTAGAATATGTGACTCAATAAAAGAAGAAGATCCATACTCCAATCGCACTTGAAGAAAGCTAAAGGAAAAAACTGTTACATTTCTTTATAAGGTACCGCTTTTGTTTAATAGCAGTGAAAGTACTTTCGATTCTAAATTATGCAAGAATCGATGCTATATATGTATACATGAGAGAGAACACTTACGGAGAAAGAGAGAGGCTGCTCCGAGACCTAAGGAACAGTCGCCAACATCGGAGTTGGGTTCTAGGGGTTGAGAGAGAAAATGCTGGGTTTTCTATGGGCAATTCAACATGAAATGATTTTAATCTTTGGTTACCAGAGAAAGTGGGGGAAAAGAGACGGTGTGTAATGTATATAGAGAGAGAAAGTACTTACCGGAGAGAGATGAGTCGGATCTATGAGAAGGAAGAAGACCAGAAGAGATCGTGATCTGCGCTCTTTACGACAAGAAAGATCTATATGGCACAGAAAGACGCCAACCCGGTGATAACCCAAACCCAAACCCTAACCCTAATCCTCACCCGGACTATATCTTACCCATTAAGACCATCCATTCATCGCTGTCACTGTGATTGCACGTCTTCCAACGGTTTTTTTTTTTTTTTCACTTTTTTTTTTTTTTGGGTAAATTCCTAACGGGAGATTTGTCAGTGTAAGTTTTTATTTTTTTCTTTTCTATTGCGGCAAGAAATTCAAGCACTATTTTTTTTTACATTTCCAAAAAAAATAATAATAATAATTTTTTTTTTTTTTTTTGCAAAATTATACTATAAGATGATATATTTTTGTTTATTAATGAGGATGTTAAGTTAATTTAGTATCAATTTTTTTAATTTATTATTCACTTTAACATTTTTCATCTACCACAAATAAAAATGTTAAAAATGAATGAATAGAGTGATTAAAAGAGATAGGATCACTAATGAAATAAGATATTTTATTAAATTTACTATCAAAATGGTACCAAATAAACTTTTTATTATTAATTTACTAATGAAAATAATGAATTAAGTTTTAATTCTAGGGGTAAGTTATGTTTAAAGTTTTATCACCAATTTTTATTTTGATGGGTACATGAAAACTGAACAGAATAATTTTTATTAAAATTTTGAAAAAAAATTAAATTGTTTTCAAAGCTCAGCATTTTTATTAAATTTTTTTTTTTTTTTTTGGTGGGGTATGTAAGAAACATGAAATCTCGCTATCCTTTCTAAGAGGTGGATATGGGATGGAGGAGATATTGTTTAGTGGTAGGTAAAATTAATATTGTTGTGTTGTTAAACTATCTAATTAATATTTTTCTATAAAGTGAAAATAAATAAGTCTAAGCACAACTCGAAAAATATTGTGTCTGGACTCTACTCCATCACTAGTTTAGTTACGGATAAGACAGTGTGAAAAAATTTTATTTAACATTAAATTCTCACATTTGAATAAAAAAAAAAAAAAACTACCTTTTTAAGGATTCAATCAAATTTTACTATTAATACTAGAACATACAATTTCGTGCATATAGGGAGTAAGTGAACATTTTTGACACCTTGTCACACTAAAACTAATTATTTCTTTTACATATATATATATAACATTTGTTTTCAATCGGCTTATCTCTCTCTTTTTTTCTTTTTCTTTTTTTGAGAGGTTCAATTGCCTTGTCATTTGATTTCAATATATACATATATGCATATTAATCATGCATGATGTTATATTAACAGGAGAGCATGTTGAAAGTTTGTGCGCAGCGGAATGGTTGTAAAATAATATGGATAGATAATCTGGAGAGGATAGCGAATAGATTCAACTTGCTCTTTTATTTAATTTTTACTTATTTTAATTTTACTGAAATAAAACTAAAATCAAATCACAGAGCAAAAATAAAGTGCAAGTAAAGTAAATAAAATTTGAGAGATGACACCAAATTTTTAGCGAGGAAACTCCAATTGATAGAATAGACCAATTGTAACAGAAAAACCTTGTTGGACTTTGCAGTCCTGAGATAAATGATCCACTATGTTTGAAGCAAAGTATACCGAACTTTGACTAAGTCTCACACTTTATCGTTCTACAAAAAACCAATTGCTGACAATCTATGACTTTACGACTCCCCCGTCCAACAGGTCTCAACCTCAGGCTTACTCTCGATCTCTGTACAAGAGTTGCAGGTAGATCAGACAACACTCTACGAATGCTCTGACCCATTCAAAGTGTGATCGCTTCACCCCTTTTCTTCTAATCTGAATTTGATGAAGAACGAATGAATTCAGCTTTTCCGGAATTTCTGAATCTTCAATTATGCTTCAATTCCGATGAGATAAAGAACAACACTACTAATTCACTCTTGTATTTATGTGTGTGCTCTAAAAAATAAAATCAGAAAAATCAGATTGATTTTCTAGAATAAAAATATCTCTCAAAGATGGCTCTCAATTGAATCTAAATTTTCTATGCAAAAGCCGTGTATAAAAATATCTCTCTAAAGGCTTTATCAAAATATATAATTGATGTTCCTTAAAGCCATGAATAAACTTAGATGACTGTCAAGTTTATATAGAGTTTAGAATGTCCTAATCCCTTTGAAAATATAGAAAAATTTGTGCATAGGACTTGAAAGGAAGTTGGGTTCAAAAAGGAAACAATCAGGAAAAAGGAAACTGAAATTATGATGCTGCCAGGACTTTTTGAACCGGTTCAAGATGACCAATCTTGAATTCTACTGAAGTTGAACCAGTTCAGCCCCGTTGAATCAGTTTAAGATGGACAGAACGTAAAATCTTCTTTAAAAACTTCCAACTTCCAAAACCCTTCCTAAATGTTCTCACTATCTCTCAAAACTTCCTAGAACATTGTTTTCATCATCTCGAAGTGTAGTAAACCATGAACACTTGATCTTCTTCAAATCCTCATCCAATCTTCAAGCATGAAATTGTGAATCGAAAAATTACAACTCGATCGGACTTATTTTGACAACGAAATTAGCCAATATACAATATATATATTTTTCACAATCTCCCAAAAATATATATTTCACAATCTCCCCCTTTGACAATTTTGTGACAAAACCCTAAAAACAACATGTAATCTACTCAAGCAGAAAAAACAAATTACAATAATTGTCAAAGAAATAAAACGGAACTCTTCTCGAACCACATAAAACTTCAACACTTGTAGCAACCTGTAATCTTCAATTTAGCTTAATAAAACTACTCGTGAAACTTAATCAAGAAAAATAAACAATAAACATATATCAATATGTGAATATCAATATATATATCTCTCCCTCAAATATGCACACTTTTCCCCATTTTTGTTACAAATTGACAAATAAAGTTCAATAAAGAAGGAAAATAAATAATGTGGGAGAATTAACAAGAAGAAAGATCAAAACTATCATTCATGCATAAGAAATGTCATTAAGCACAAAAAACATGATGATATATAGTTACAATAAAACCAAAGAACAATATCCAATATAACAAATGTTCAATCCATAAGATAAATAAGATCAATTATGCTCAAAATCATACAGATGATATCTCCATCCAAACGAAAACAAACATAATAAAAACTAAAAGGAAAATCTTTTTGGATTTTTTTTTATTTTTCAATTTTTTTCATTTTTTTGATATTTGAACAAAAAAATATGAGATAACAATTTCCATGAATTTCAAGCATACTTGAGATCCAAAAATTTCTGAAGAATTTAAGAGAATTTTAAAACACAATTTTTAGACACCACAAATTATTCAATCAAACCAATTCTCAAGCATGCAATCACAACATGAAATTCAATTTGCAATTTTTATGAAGATTTATAAATTTGCCTAACAAGTTCATATGTGTGTGTGTGCAATCCAACCTCATCAAATTTCAATCAAATCTCGTTGACCAACTGTTGTGAGATTTATATGTACCACTCGTAAATGCACGAATCTTTGCAGATAGGGTTTACTTGTAAGGGTGTCGTACCTAAGGGACTTGTGTAAAATAAGCTTGTCAACAGATTTCTTAAATTCCAAAATTAACTTGAAAGTAGGATAATCGAATTGTGATGATTAATTATAAATTAACTAAATAGAAAATAAAATAAACTAAAGAATAATGATTAAATGTGATGTAGAAAATAGAGATAGAAGACTAGGGGTATGATTTCACCACTAAAGTCGCACCATCAGTTAATTGCATTAATTTATTGGAGATATATGATATAGCATGCACATGGAATTAATCATGGCTACAAGTACATATTAATTCAGCTAGAGAATAATATAATTTAAAGCTAAGTATGGACTATCTTCGACTGGTATAAACCATCTACCTAACTACTTTACTCTAGGGTGTAGCATGGTCTATCTTTTCTAGGCATAATCTATCAAATCTCTAACATTATATTCAGATAAAAATCATTGTGTAATCATCTCATTCACAACTATAAGAAGTGAATGAGTTGCGTTCAATCACAAGATTAAAATATCTAAGACAAGATAGAAAATATTTGTAATTAAATTAAAACTCTAAAACCGATTCTTATTGAAAAGTCGATTAAAAATCCTATAGATTCCACAATCATGCATGATAAAAATTGTTCTCTAATAATTAAATACAATCAAACTAGTGTGTTAAGCTAGGGCTACATCACAACCCTAGCAAAGCGTTTAGCCAAGCATGACTATAGTGGAATTATTCATGGTTGAGGAAGACATCTTCACCGCCATGGATTGATCTCTTCTTTCTTCTGACTGCTCCTCTATGATCTCAGCCTCAAGCTCTTCTGTATGATGATTCATGTTGTAGAGAACCCCCTTTAAATAATAAAATATCAGCCCTAAAGTTCCCTTTTTCATATGGAAGACATAGAAATTCTGGCAAATAAGGACTCCAAAATTCGTACGGACTTCTAGGCCAATTTTGACAAGGTAAACAACTGTTTTAGGGAATCCTCGTGAAATACAAAATTGTAACTCTTCGAATTTCCTTTCAACTTTTGTGAGAATTTAGCCGTTTTGACACTCGAGGAGAGAGATACAGCCAGATTACCAAAACGGGTTCAAATTACCAACTTTGGCGAAAGTTTCCTTTTTGAAGAAGGATTTTTCCTTTTCTTCTTCTTTCCATTCTCATCAACTTGTAACTTCTTTTGGACTATTTTCTAAGTATAATTAGACTTGAATCTTCAACATTGCTTGGTCCCACGAAAAGTCATCTTTTAAAGCTCAGAATTATTAGTCTTGACTAATTTTACAATTAAAGTCCTGAAATAAATAAAAATAATAAAACAATGTAAAATCTCAAATAAACTATTATTAAGAGAATAAAACATGCGAATAGAGGGGCTAAAATGTATAACATTCAGCGCCTAACACCAACTATCTAAATCATATTGATCAAAAAGCATCAAGAAAATATTGTTTTGAGTAAATTTTTCTAAGTAAGGCGGTTTTCACTCTAAAGAGTAGACAACAATTCTCTATTTCGACTCATCTCCTCATGTCTTTGTACTCAAATAG